GTTGAGGTCAAGCCCTGTGTCCTGTCTGGACTGCTGTGGGAAGCAGAAGGGAACTGCTCATGGGCAGCATGGGTTGGGCTGGCAGCAGGCTACTCCCAGCTGCCCTATTTCCCAGGCAAACATATGAAAAACAAACAAAAGTCATAAATATTTGTTTCCAAAATCAGCTTGTTAATGATAGAGAATATAAAAGTCTCATGAAATTATAATTAGATGGAACAATATTTTGAGAGCTCCCAAAAACACAGACATAAGTATCTCATTGAAATAAAACCCAATACACATGAACTTTAGTTCTCTCATGAAAATCAAAATAAAATAAAAAAGCAAATGTGGAGGAAAAGCTCTGTGTATTAGACAAGATTACTAATTTATGAAAAACAACACAGAGTAAACATTATTGCTTTTTTTGATGATATTACCAAGCACCAATAAGTAAGAAGACTCCAATCTATTACGTTATATATGTATATAAGTCACTAGGCTCATCTTGTGATCTTTATTCATGTACTCTTCTGACTTTATGGCAATTTTGTAATCATTATTCAGCCTGTATAGAATCATATACTTCTGTGAATTAAACTGAGAATCAATTTTCTAATTAGCATTACAATTGTTAATGAAATGAAAGATTACATGAGTTGCAAGTGCACAGAGACATAATGCTATCAGGCATTTAAGTCAGACATATTTAAAATATACACTTCCTATTAGTCAAAATTTCCACTTCCTGCTGTCTCTAGAGTTTAGCAAGATCATAAAACTGGAGCAGCATTTCATGGAGTTCCTTAAAGTTATTATCACAGTATTAAATAAGATCTTTCCTGCAAGGGAAAGAAAATGATTGTTCTCTCTCCTAAGCTGACTGTGTAAAATGTTCTTCAATAAAATCCAAGAAATTAATATTCAATGATTTACAGTAAATCTCCTGAGCACTGGAGGTTTGCTCTAGATGGGAAAAGCAAACACTTATGGGGTACATTATTATGATGGCTTATGCTAATTAAATTGAAGCAGAAATGCTTAATTTATGCTTTACCATCAAGTGCAAAGGGGAAAATTCTTTCTTGGTTTAAGCTTTATCTTGTTAAGAGGATTTACCTCCTTATTTCCTATAATAAAGAGCTATTTTTGAGACTATACTGAGAAAGCAGAGACTTGCAGAGCTTTTCTGCTAGTTGCCATGACACTTTGGATCTCAACCTACAGTTCAATACAATGGCTGCAATTAGGTTAATTAGAACATTATCTCAAAGTACACAGCTATTGTAGAAAAGAAGAAACATTCTCACTGAATATGCTGCTTGGCCACCAATACATGATATATATATTTTTTTAAATTACATTTTATAATTATAATGAATAATTTATTTCTTTAGGGGATGCTTGATGTTTAAATATTGTAACTCAAAAAATAAATACAAGTTCCATGTAATATTATATTAGGACATTTGAATGTAAGTTATTTTCTTCTATAAAATAATGAGAGAAAAAATCCCTCTTATAAAAGATTATACTATTTTAGCTCATTAACAATTTCCAAATTCATAGGCCTTGATGAAAGATCACACTCAGATATATACATATATATATTAATCTCGTTAAAGGAATATTTTTGTATTATTCCCTACTTCTGCATGCAAATGTGATTAAGCTTTATTTTTTCCACTATCACAGCAACTAGACACTCTTCTCTAGGTAAAGGAATCAATTGTGCTAGGTGCCGTTCAAATAGGAGGAAAAGATTTTGTTCTACACCAAAAATAGGAGGCAGGTGTAGACAGAGAAGTACAGGAAATAAGAAAAGAAAATGGTTAGCCTGACGAGCTGGGCCATCAGCTCATCAATAGGCAGCTTTTCCTCTTGTTGTTTCACTAGTAATTACAAAAAGTAAAAATATACAGGAGAAAATGCAGAATTTTATGCATTCTCTAAAAATTAAGCATGGAAGGAACTGCTGAGGAGCCTGTGGAAGAAATGCAGTTCCACTGAAATCAGTAGTTCTGTCAATGATGCCATGACCCAGTTTTTAAGAGTGTACTTTGTAAACTTTTGACTTTAAACTGTTGAACTTCTGAGATAAATATTCAACTACCTAACATTATTTTGTCCAGATCTATGTGGGTGACAAAACTGGCACTCAGACTGTGTGCGGTGTAGAAGGTGGACCTCGGTGCTACATGATGTAAACTGCAAGATTTCAGCTCATCTTAGGAAACAGACTGGACCCGTCAGTGTACTCTGTCGTCCCCAAAATATATTCAAGTGCACTGCCCATCACCCAGAGAAGCTGTACACACTGTATAAACCTGCCGTGGGCAATGACTTAGCAGCATACATCTCATGAATGTCATAGCTGTCGTTGTGAAATATCAAATGCCAAGATTTTCATAATTTATTTCCGCATATTTGACAGGCAGGGACTTTTTGAGGACAGAATTCTAAATTTAAACACTTGTTTCTGCCTTTTAGTGTCTCAAATTGGTTCCCATTCCCAACCCCATTTATCAATCATTTTCACTAATCATTACTGTCTGTATTTATCTTCTGTGATCACTAACCTTCTTTTCTCCACATCCTGAAGACAGGAAAGTTGCTGCCAGACATTATGAAAACTAATGAATATTTCTGAAGTGAAAAGATGGAATACTGACTCCCCAAGGAAAATGATTGCAAAACTCCTTTGAATTCCAGGAAAATCATGTTTTCACTGATAAGGAATGTTAGATGGTCAGCTAAGCACACAAGTGTATCTCACCTAAGGGTGGCTTACACTGGCCCTCTAGGATTTTTGCCCAAAGTCCAGAAACAGAGTTCAGGTGTTGAAGTAATTCTTGATGTTGTTTAATTTAATTTTTCCATTTGTCCAAACATCTCAAGTCATTTTTTTTTCCCATTTCTTCACAGATCTTTACAGGATTATTATTATTATATCCTAATCCTTTGCTTCTCTGAAACAATTGGAAGGTTACTGACCTAGCACTTTAGGTATATCAGACAAGTCAGAAAAAAAAAAAAAAAAAAAAAAAAAAAAAAAAACACTCCCAGAAAATAAAAATGCCCATAAAACCCAGATAACATGAAATTCTCATACCTTAATATAGACCAAGCACACCACTAAATCCCAGTTCTCTACACAGGCACGAAGAAATTATTTTGCTCCATTATTTTGCTCCATCTTTAAGACTAACAAAGCAAAGTATTTCAGACCACAAGATGAAACATTTTAACCAAAATGAAATCTTTTAGTTTCCTCTTTTAAATATGAAGGAGAGAAAACATTTTATTTTTTTTTAATCCATCTGACATGATTGCACGTAGAAAAGATTTGCAGTGGTCTTGTACTCTACAGCTATGCTGTGAAGATCTTCCTAGGACAAAGCCTGACATAAGTGGCCTGACTCAGTTCCTAACTTTTAATTCTTATTTCCTCGTTCAACCTTTTTCATTGTTCTATCTGTTCAACAGTCTCTGCTCTGTGTATTTACAGAGTATGCACATGTGTATCCAACAAATAATAATACCGTGTAAGGTGTTATTGAGTGAATCACAGCAGAAAAAAATAAAATTAATATCTCAATAGCCATTCCTGTACTTAATCAAACAACCATAACCTTTGTAATCAATTTAGAGTCTGGAAACCTGCCATAGTACACACTTTCTAGCTCAATCTGTAGCACTTCATCCTCTCAGTTCTGTTTATCTCCCAGTCCTGAGCGTCAACACAACAACCGTCACATAAAGTTTGGACCCAGAGTAGCATTTTATCTTCCAACTGAAATATTTCACAACAAATAAAGAAAGCAAAATCTGAAATTGTGCTCCTTAAGGCAGTGAAACTTGAATGTGAGACTAGGATATGATAAAATGTGTTAATGTGGGTAGATTCACAAATACCAAACACAGTAAAATGTTAATTTCCCAATGTTACTGTTTTTCTCTTCTGTTTTCATTCAGTTTTGGTAAATACATCTCCTCCTCTTCCAGTCAGCTACGAACACTGCCACCAACCCAGTTTCACATTGCTGTGAACAGATTACACGGATCTCTCTCTCAGCTCCCTATTTCCTCTCTTATTCTAAAAACCAAAAGCAAGAAAGTCCATCCTCACCTTATCTAACACCTTTTCTCCCTCTTCTCTCACCCTGCCACACTGTTAGTGCCCTTTCTTACCTTTTTTCTTCTGTATAGCTAAAACCCTGCTCACTTCACCCAAAGAAGCTGACAAACTGTGGTGCTTTAAACCATAGCAGTAATATCTTCTGCCACTTGTGATCTGGAAAACGTCAGATATTATCTTGTCTATTTTTACTTTACATTCTTCAGTGAGATTATGTTTGTACAGTGCATGGTGCAAATGGAAACCTGCTTCCCACTGGCCTTTCAGCAGGACTGCAAAAAATGAAAACCCACCTGTGGGTGCCAGGGAGTTGGCAACAACCTTGTGGGATGTAAATAACTTTTTGATTCACTGTTCTCAAGCTTCCACTGATTATTTTTTTTATGAAAAGTCTGTTCATAATCTCATTTATTGTCCTCTACTGTAGGGTCTCTGCAGCTGTTTTGCTAATAATAAACAAGCACTCATCCCTCTGCAGAGCTCCCCCCCCTACATTTTCCTTGTTCTGCTTCACTTACTTTCTTACTTCACTCATTTCTTCTTAAACTTACTAAAAGGAGAAAAGGACACTGCTTTTCAGGAGAGCAGAGACACAAAGGAATGGGGACAGAGAAAAAGAAAATGAAAAAAGAAAAGAAAACTCAGCTTCTCTATAGCACATATTTGAGTACTCAAAGGTGGAGATCTGGCTATGCATGTTACCTGAGTAATGCAAAAGCTCAATTCTTGGTTTTACAGCATGGGAGAAACAGGTGGATGTCCAGTGCCTCTGGCTGTCAAATTGCAATTGTCTATGGCAGTCAAATTTCAAAGTAATTTGTAACAAAAATATCACAGAGAAAAAGAGATTCAATCTCACCAAGGAGATAAGGTGTTGGTTTTTTGTTTGTTTTGTTTTTATCGCATTATAAAAAAGTTTCTATTTTCATATATGAAGCAATAAATTCTGAGGTTTACAACCATTCGTTGACATTGCCCATATTAGGGTCTCCAAGATTCTGTTTCCCTTCTGTTTATTTTCCTGTTTGTGGAAGGGAGCTATGGCTTCCTCACCATTATGGTCTTCTACAGTGTCTTTGAGCAAGTGTGTGTCAGTCTCCTTGGGCAGGTACGTATAATCTCAGGTAACTGAGACCATCTATTTGTCTCCCAAACTGACAATTCCGCATTATATTTACTTATAACATTTTACATATATTAAACCAATATACATGCCATATGCTCTCACTTACAGGAGCAGTTCATATTTCTCTTGAGTATTCTGTCTTTAATTCACTGATGCAATGCAGAGATTGTTGATTTTTTACTAAATTTAGTAGCAGCAAATGCTACTTCATTAGTGCACCCTCCTAGGGTTTGCTTCGCAATAAATTCTGCAAAAAGGCTGCAGACAGGGTGCACACAGTACGGGATTTTTATTTATGCCAGGATTCCACCTGGGGCAGTAAAAAACACCAGGCCCTTCAGGCTTACAGGGGTTGCCACTTCCTGGCTTTTCTTCCCTCTTTGCTTTGTTAGGGTCATTCAACCCCAGCTTGAGCACACACACAGATTGAAATGAAGTGCAGTCTTTGGAGGGGGGGAATAAGAATTGTTAAAACTGGGATTAGAGGGAGAAATACAAGCAAGGAAAAATTCCCAACCTTCAGTTCATTGTTCCATGACATATCAATTGCTCCTAGTGAATTTTATGTGAGAATTTATTTATTCGCCATATCAATTGCACTACCAGAAAGAAACCTGCCATATAAAAGCACCTGTCTGAGTCAACATATACGCAGCATAAATAAAGACTGAGTACAAAGTACTTTGCCTTAAAGGCTTGCCAAAGGTTTATAAAAATAAAATTAAAAAATTTTAAAAAATTAAAATAAAAATCACCTCAAAACTGTTACCACAATCATTAAAACAGAAATAAACATCTAGTCATAAGTCAAGTCTACCCCACAAGCACACTTTGACTTTGCTATATAACATGTACATACTGGAGAAAGGCAAATTTAGTGGAAACACCAATTAGTACTCAAGAATATATTTTAAGAGCTACTTTTCAGTAGTACAAAAATGCTTACAGGTCACGGTTAGGGGAAGAGCCTTAACTGTGATACACATGGCAGCACAGGCTATGAAAACAAAACCTTTCTTTGAACAGCAGACTGCAGAAGTACAAGAAGTGTCCCCTGCTGCCACTTGCTGACGGGCAGGCCAAGACCCCTTGCCCGTACCTAGCCCTGCTCTCTAGGGTTGGATCCAGAGGCAATAGCAGACCTACAGATGAATAACTTTGTTCTTGTTTGAAGAGATCTTCAAGCATCAGTGACCTTCGGTAAGCATGAGATCTCTCCAGGTTGCTGTGCCCAGCTGAAGAACAAATTCAGATCTAATCTGATCCTCTGAAACTGATGGACCTAAAAGAAAACAGAAAATACATTACAAATCTCTAAAAACTCACAAGCTGCTTTTCTTTTTTTTTTTTTTTTCTCCACCAAGGTGTATTGTTTACATTGAATAGGGGAAAGGACCAGAAACTACATTATTCCCATACGAAATCCAGAATACTTCTTCACCACAGACTTTAAGGGACTTGAACGTTATGGTGAGGAACAGCGAGATACCTGCAACGCAGATGCATACTCAAATACTGGTGTCATCAGACAGTACAGCACAGCCAGTAAATCAGTGGACTAAGCCAATTTGCTCCAGTAAGAGAGAAGTATGGATTTCATTATCCGAGGCCTTCTCAGGGCAAGAGCCTTAATGGCTGCAATGAGCTCAGTAGGAAAGGGTAGCATCTGAAGGCAGAGAAAACCTCCAATAGTTATAAGTACTTCAATTTTTATTCCATAAACAAATCAGATGGGATGAGGTATGCAATAGCTTTTTTATGATAATTATATCTGTTTGTTTGGTCTTTTACCAGATCGTTAAAGCTACTGAGGTTGCTGGAGAGCCATATTTTTTCCCTTGAACCGTTTCAACTGTTCTTATTTGATTGTATTGGAGTTTCATGATGATAAAGATTTATAAGTAGTCAAGAAAAGATATGTTTAAAAAGCCTTCTAAATAAAAATAATCCTTTCCATTTGAAGGAATTGAAGCAACATTGTGTTTTTTTTGTTGTTGTTGTTTTGTTTTGTTTTTTGCATTATGAAAAAGAGGAAAACAACATGTTGGCAAGGTAAAAATATTTTAATTTTTCCTTAATGTTACAGAAGAAATGAGGAGGCAAGCAGAAAGAAAAAAATTTTAGTAGTGAGGTTTGGCACAAGTTCAAACATAAATGTTTCTTCTTGCATTGGGATTGCAGGATCAGGTCATAGGAACAAAATCAAAAGTAACCTCATGCTAGCCTAGAATTCAGTTCTGGAAACAATTATTAATTTGACTTAATCTCTTGCATTGGATTGCAGTTTTAAAACCATGGGATGAGGCAGTTGGAAAAGTGTGAACTGACACAAAGACACGTATACCTAATAGTGTTTCCACTAGAACATTCAATTCTGAACTGAAATTTAAATTCACGCTTCTAATATAACACAGTACAGTGAGGGCTGGCTTGAAGGAAATCAAGCTCTGAGACACCTTGTAGAGCAACACTTCAGTTTTACCATTTAACAGTCTGAGAAATCAAACTATGACTGAGAAATACCAATTTATTTCTACAGTTACTGCCCAAATTTTTGAACACGTGATTAGATTTAGAAGGGCAGTGTTTTCTAATTATAAACAGTTGTGTCTATGAATTTTAGCAGCTTTCTGTAGCATGCTGAGTCCAATGACAGCATTTACCACCTGCATTGCAAATCTCAGAAATTTAATTATAATACTGTGCACATATCCCTGCAGTTTCAGCATCAGTTACTCTATCACATTGATATTATTTATTGTACATGCTTAATCTTGTCACTTTCTAGTAGATTTTAATATGCTTCTTTGTATACTACACAGTAGTATGGAATTTAGACAGAAATTTACATAATTTTACAAGATGTAAACCTACCTTCTATTCAAATCAATTAAATATCATCTGTCTGTATATCACTTTTTTTGTTGTTTTTGTTTTCAAAGTCTCCATCACATCAATACGCAGTTTCATTTTCAGGAAGCAGGATTTCATACGGTACATTAGAAGTAACATTTCCTTCCATTAAAACATTCATTTACATTTTTAAGATGAGACATTTTTCAAGAAAGTAATGATTTTTAAATGTAATGTATTTTAAATCAGTGTACAAAAAAGTTTGTTTTTTGAGGCCATTGGTCTTAAATTTGCCATGGTCCCAACATCCAGTCTGCATTGCCATAGTCACCCTGTCACTGCCTCGGAAGGGAGGGGGGGGAGTGGTAGGAAATGAAGAAAGACAAAACATTAGTTTAGGAGATGCAACAGTCATGGCTTGATTTTCCTTCTAGCTCTGGCAGTGGAGATACAGCAAAGCCTACTTCTCCAAACTCTTCTTTTCCACCAGCATTTCCACCTTTCTATAATTACATAGGAGTTGACCTAAGTGACCTAAGTGGGGGCTCATAGCGCAGCAGCTTTGACATGACTCTGGATCAAAACACAGGAATACTGTCTCCTGCTTAAATATAAACTATGTTAAGAAAGATAATCCCATGCAAAATGTTTACCTGAAAAGATGTTGATTTTTTTTCTCTACTTCCATCATCAAAAATACCTTTTTCTCAATTCTTTTTAATAAGAGAAGCAACTATTAGGAACTACAGAAAAAAAAAAAAAAAAAAAAGAAAAGGAAAAAAGGTGTTTATCCTTACCGTGATTCCTCAATATTATTTTTCTGTGAAAAACAAAACAAAAAAAAAAAGCAGAATTTTAGTAGTAGAAAATAGAAAACAGACACTGTATAAAACGGAATAAAATCATTGAAGACAGTTTGGTTAGGGTTACCATGGCTAAACTCCACCCTGCTTATACTGCTTCTCTTTGTGGTGCCACCAAGGAAAATTCCTGGATGTTCCATGTACCATAAAAGACTTCCAGTCCCCCTCAGCTGGTGCTTTGGATGACTTTAAGATGGCTTTAAGTCATCAGCATCTAAGGACATGTGTTCTGTGTTCACAGCCTCTGCAGGAAAGGAAAGCAGAAGCACTAGGGGAGAGCTGGTGTCTGGGACATCAGCAGTGGTTTTCAGTTCTTGTTCAGGGGACTGCAAACCTCAAGCACTGTGGGGAAGTCCCATGATATGGATGTGCTTGAGGCTCTTTGAAAGTGCTCTCAGGTAGTCTGAATGCAGCTGGGGTATAGACTTAAAGAGCTGCAGACAGACAGAATAGTTATATTTTTAGCCTACTTAACCACAGACTGGCATGCTTTAACGTTGTCTGCACTACAAGGGAGTGAGAGACTTGCTTCTGCACTACTGGCACTGACAATAACATTTGTGTTCAAACAGTTGAGCTTGCAAGTGAGCTTGAGGAATACTTCAAATCACTCTCTGCAATTATCAATCAAATAGTACATGAAGTGAGCACTGTTCCTCACCCTGTCCTTACAAACACATTCAGTGCACTTTAGCAAAGAAAGCCTATCCATATAAAATGAATCTTGACCAAATTATTGAGCATTTACCCCAGTAGCTTTCCTCTTTTCCTTTTTTCCCCTTTTTCATCTTTTTTGTCCTTTTTTAAGTTGGAGGAGTCACATTCCTCCAACTGCAGAACACAAAACCTTCAGTATTACTGATACACTCAGAGAAAATTAACCAGAAAAAGAAAAATCTTACAAGCTTGAATATTCAATAGTTATCATCAGAGCCTTGGTTAATTCTGTACAAGTTATCTTCATCCAGGTCCTATGGTGAAATTGGCATACAGTGGCATTGGACATTCTTCTATAGTCTAATGTAAAAGTCTAGTATGCCATCCAAAGCACCGTACCTAAAAACAAAAAGAAAAAAACAAAAAAAAACAAAAAACAAACAAACAAAAAAAAAAACCACAAACAATATAAAAAATGCATCCACTGCTCTATCTTTAACATACCTATTTCAAAATCAGATGTTATCCAACTGACTTTCTCAATGACTTTCGGAAATAATTAAAGAAAACTTAGGGAGTACATTTATATATATATATCTATGTGTATATAATATGATTGCCATAATACCTTAAAGTGGCTAAATTCAAAATCATAAGTTCTGATGTATAGAAGCCATAAAATTCCACTGATAATATATTTTTTCTTTTTACTTTTAGTGGAATTTGGCTAAAGTATCATATGCTGAATACTTCAGAGAAGGAGCTATGATGTGGTGTAATGGTATATATTTGGGCACAGACTTCAGGTCTTCTTCTAATATAACTATCCCTGCAGGAATTTCATTAGATTAGAACTAATTACCGGCAAAAAAAAAAGCATGATCGGGATCCAGTACTATGAAACTCATTTCACTCATCAGACAAGCGAACAGCATTTCCAAAGAGATGCTGATATCCTTTCATTGAAAGCTGTGTATAGAAAAGGCTCAAAGACTGCTTTCAGTTAAACTATATGAGGCAAGGAGGGGGAAAGTAGAAATGAAGAAGAGAAGGAAAAGACATACGTAACCAAGATGTGCTCCAACCTGTAGCACTTCTGCCTGTCATCCTCAGATGAAAACAAGGCAAACTCTTGATATTGAGGTGACACCAAAAATAGCTCATGTAAGCCTCGTATTACACAGATGAGGAAAGCAAACAAACACATCATATCTGAGTCTGCTGGAGATATAAAGATTTCATCCTATAAAGCAGCTATTATATTTCCTTCGGCCTAGCAGTCACTGGCTCTGAGGCAGCTGCAACAGCAAGATTTTATTTCTGTCGAAGCAATTGCAGAAGGGGTCATTCATGCTGAAAGAGAGGATGAAATAAAGATGCTTCACTATGCAGACATTTTCATGGGAAGGAATGAGGCTTGTACAGTTGGGACCCAGCCTAGTCACTATGTCCGTGACCCCAAAGAAGTCTGCCACAAGTGCCACCACTGCAAAGCCAGAATCTGACCCCTAGAGGAATAAGCATCTGCAAAGCTCTGCATGTATTTGTATCTATGTCTCCTCCAGATGATAGAAATGTGAAATATTTTTCAGGTTTGTTGTGCATGAGAACAAGAAATGCAGTGCTCCAGAAATAGCTGAACTCAGTGCATTTGCCCTTAATACTGTTTTTGACAGGAGAGGGCCAATGAACACAACACACACTGACAAAAGAACTGATAATGATGAGCAGAAAAAGAAATGACATTGTTAGTTCTGCAAGATTCTTCCCTTCAAAAATGTTTGTGCCAATACTGGCACATAATTCACATCTTTAATGTTCAACCTTGTTTGCCTTTAGAAAGTAAATATTTGTCAAATCACTGTACTCTCTGAAGTTCCTCTGGGTTTAAGACAGAAATTTCTCCTCAGACACTGAGGGAGACTCAGCCAGAGGGAGACCGCAGGAATTCAGAGCAGAAGATAGAAGCTCAGGCCTAGATGAAAACAAAAGATCTAAAGAGTTAGAGTCTGACCTAAGGCAAAGGACTGGCTAGAGTTTCCAGCTCCATGGCTGTCACACAGAGCGATCAAAGCGAGGGATACGGTGTTTTAGAGACCATCCCCTGAGTGGTTCAGAGTCAGCCCACTTGGGAGGGTCATTTACAAAATGATGGAAAGTGCCACCTGCAGCCTAATCACCGAAGCTTGTGCAGGCTTTTCTGCTGGCCACAGACCTCAAGCATAATTTTTCTCCACTAACATCCCTCTGCAGATTCTCCAAAAGCCCCATTCCTCAGTAAATCACCTCATATGACAACACTGTAATGACTCCCATAATACCAGATGGTCAGTGAAAATCCTAAAATATCAAACACTTATTCTAGCGTATGCTTATAGCTGGAATTTTCAGGAATGAAACAAGGCAAAATTTTCAAACTGAATAAAAAATTTTGAAGTTTTCCTCCCACCCATTTTATTTTCAAGAATATCCAATTAATTTTTCAACACGTTTTACTTTATTGACTTGCAGTGTTCTCTAACGTTCGATGGGCAGTTTCTACTCTGGGCATCAAAGTAGCTTAGGATACCTTTGCAAATTGCAATTTTAATGCAGAAAATGTGTTGTCTTTATCTACATAAAAGTGTCTTACCATTTTCATAGCTTCCTCTAACAGTGAAGACAGGGAATGGGAGCCAGCCTACTGACAAAGTTGAGAGAAACAAACGAACAAGAGAAGAAAACAAAACTTAAAGATTTTAAAGTATCTGTGTACAAAAATCTTTGCAAAATGTAGATTTAAACTACCTTGAATTTAATTTCATAATTAAACAAAGGAAAATTTGAAGCTAAGGAAATTACCAAAATAAGATGGCTCTGATTGTATTTGGCAATATTTCCTGCATTATTCCCGTTAGCCACAAGAATAATTTGATTTTTTCTTTGCTAGTCCTTCTGAGACAATGTCAGTGTTGAGTCCATAAGCATTTTGAGAATTAATTAAAATGTCATGAAATAGTTATTTCATTAGCATATATATGGTCATAAAAATAATTATAATTACTTCTTAGAGGTGGAAGAGAGTTAAGTTTGATTGATGGAATTAATGAAAATATGGACAGTTCCAATATACTAAATTGCAGAAACTTGGAGAATTAACTATCTACTATGCAAAGTTATAATAATTACTGTAAGCACTTTAAAAGATTAATATTCAACAAGAATAATGTATCTTAGAGCCTAAAATACCCATTGCAAATTACAAATGTATTTTCAACTGTTTATATCATATTCAGAAGAGAAATATCATTTTGATTAACTTCCAAGGTCTCCTAGATTAATAGGTATTTGCAGACTTCCAGAGTCCAATCAATCCCTTTAATCTTGTTATCAGATGCTAAACAGCTGGGTGACCTGATTTAAGTGTATGATTTTAAGGAAGTAATAATGTATAATAGTTTTCAAATGCCTGCTAAGAATTTTCAAGCTGTATAATACACCCAAAAATAGGCAAGTAAATGATATTAAAATAAACATTATAGTTAACATTGGAATGCATATCAACTGCTTCTGCAGCCATAAGCAACCTACACGTAATTTTGTTTCTTTTAATTTATTCTGTTTTAAAGACCTGCAACACAGTGATGATATCCTTAGAAGCCCAGGTGAACCCAACTCTGCAAATTGGAAAATTCTTAAGCTGAATAAAATCCTTGCAATTCATTAGCTGAGACCTTCTTATGAAAACTACCCATAATTCACAAGAACTTAGGGCCTGAGCTTCCTAAAGAGTGCTATTTCAAAAAAGTATCCCTGCCCTGATAGGCAAACCTCCCTATTACTTACAACATACACTTATGTTTTGGGGTAGGCTGTCCACAATAAAAATGACCTCCAAGATCTGCTTGGTATCCCAGCTGCAACAAAACAGGCTGATATGAAGCACAGCAGAGATACTTTAATTAGTATTAGCTGTCCATGTACCACATTTCCACATGCCAGGTTGTTGATTTCTTTATTTTTTTTAAGCAACTGCCAAATTTGTGAAGAATTATTTTTTAGAAGCATTAGCTGCATTTTAAAGGTCTTTTCTTTTTTTATAAGACATTTCCAATCTCACACCCCCCCCTCCAATCACACAAACAGTTCGGACCAAAAAAGCACTATATGGTAGGAAGAGGCAGGAGGGAGTGGGCACACACAGCTGTACATGCTGCTGCCAGGGAGTTTGTTTTACATCCTTGTATTGATACAGACACTTTGACAATTGTTGTGCCAGCTTCTCACAAATGCCATGTTTTGCAAAATGCCAAGTTAAGCAATTATTTATTTTTTTAATGTATTATACTTTGAATTATTTTCCTGAGGGAGCATATGGTAGAAGGTGACACATTTAAAATGGTCTTGCTGATGGCTGATACCTGGGAAAGTGGAAGCTTCCTCAGACGGTGTAAATAACTGCAGCCTCTCATTGCAAGATTTGCCTTTTTTATTCTGCCTGTGAAGAAATTACTACCATGGACTTGCAGTGTCTCCTAGCAATTTGAGTTCTCTTTTCCTTGAGCCATAGTCCTCATACTGGCAGTTCCAGGGATGAAATTTTATTTTCTCCCTCTCAGACTAACCTTTGGTTCACAATCCCTTGAAATATACAACACATGCTTCCATAAGACTGATTTATCTCCAGCACTGCAATAACATAACAGGAGAAGAATAAAATGAAGTTGAACTAGGCTACTGCTATTTCTAAATTAAAAAGCAGCAAGATGATCATAGTGTACTAAGACTTATTTTAGGGTTTGTTTTCACTTGAGCATTACCTGATTAAATAAGGAGCCTTTAACCTAAGGGAGTGCTTGGTCAGTCAAAGAAATATTCTGCTAAGGAAATACTTTTCAGGATAACTTTTATCCTTAATGGCTTCTTCCAAGGAAGGAAACAGAAGTAACAGGTGATAGAAGCAATGTTTGATGATTATCTTTTTGTACCTCCCTATGCAGCAAAGTAGCTGCAACCTACTTCCAAAGGATGCTTGGAAAAGTCTTCCTGCAAGAATAGATGTCTTTGCAGCACATTACTGTCCCTGATCTGTACCTTTGCACCTGTCTCATGCCTTGCACAACTGCAGGACTGCTCTTCAGCATGGGCAGTCTGGGGCCAGTTGGCAACTTCTGTTTCGTGCAGGCTGAACTTCCCTTTGCAGTGGAGCTCAGCTAGCTTGTTGTAGCTTCTCTTTTTGTATTTATATGGTCAGCGTTTTAAACCTGAGTTTCTTCCCTTCAAACAATTGTACTCCCAGTGTGAGTTAAGAACAGGTCTTTAATTATTCATTTTTCTGAAATGTAAGCACTATCTCAGAGCAAATTTATGTTTCTGATCACTCCTCAAAACTAGGCATTGGAAAACATGCACCTCTGAATGAGTATAATGGAGTCACAGAGGAACCTAAGAACAGTTGCACAGGTAATGGTGTCTACTACCCCCCAAAAAAGCAAAGTACCTTCCTCCAAAACGTATTTGTGACATTTCAATTTGAAACACAGCAACAACATTAGAAATGCAATGTATTCTAAACCAACTTCACATGCATATAGATCATTCATCAGGACTGGAAACACATCCTATCCCTAATGAAAGTATTTTCCAAAATAAACACAAACTGGAAATATATCTACTCCTGAAGCTATAAAGGATGTACAACAACAAGTAACTGAGTCCAGATGCCTGCCCATGGCCCAGGTTCTGCAAAAGAACCCTACTGGCTACCGTCGCTGGGAACTTTTGTCACAGCTCCCGCACAATTAGAATTCTATCAGTGAAATCATTCACTTTTAAAAAGAAAAAAGAGTTGCTCTTGTTGGATATTTGAAATAGGACCTCAAGTTCAACAGTATTGCAGACTTGTAAACAGATACATTTAAGGACTTACATTTTTCAAGTAGAACTGTCAGAAGCATTTTATATTAACTTCACCATTTTTTATTCTTAGCAGTATTTAACCATTGTCCTATTTAACCATATAGGGTTTCTACCTCCAAAATTCAGGAAATACAAATGTAGGGACAGCATTGAACTCAAATTGCCATCTATATAAAGAGAAATAGAGTAAAAATATTTTTAAAAAATATGAATAAAAGATACTGCTGACTGTGTTAAAAAAGGACAACCTTTTTTTTTTTAAAAAAAAAAAAAAAAACAAACAAAAAAAAAAAAAACCAAAACCTCTTTGCCATGTTTTTACCTAGATTTACTATAACCTAACTTATTTTCCAACTGATTCTGTCAAGTGATTCTTATATTTCCTGCCAGTTTAGAAAAATGCAGGTGCTTGCATCTTTCAGAGCCTTTGTGGATATTGGATAACTTAGTCTAACCTACTTTTCTTTCCTAGAAATATTCTATGGTCCCTTATGAATGTTACAAAAGATTCACAAACTGTTGCGTACAGTGGCAAAAGCTTACATTTCCAAGATTGTCATTTAGATGTGCAGAAATTTCACCCTCTTTTTTCCTCCTCTTCCCAGTAGGCTAGACTGTGATAGGAAAGCCTTTAAAAGGAATTTTTATGCCTTCTAAAACCTATAGAAAAAAAATAATGCAAATTATAAATCTCCTGTGAACAGTTACCTGTACTCCCACAGATTAAAATGCATGCAATACATTGAAAAATACTTTTCTATACACCTTTAAGATGATCCGTTGCATCCCAGAATTACTATGTATCCCAAATGGCAGAGTGTAGGAATTCCCTGCATACTGCTACTTTTTTCCCTGTCCCTGAAATGACCAAGCAAATAAACACATAAATAAAATATACAGAAACTCAGTGGGTGGCAATCCAGATTGGGTTTCAAACATGTAGTAGTTTACTGACTTAAAGCATATGAAGGTATTGTTGCTTGGAGGTAGCAGATTTTTCTTCTGATGTCCTGAGGATCAGAGCTATCACTCTGTTCACATCTTCTGATGTAGTTGAGTTCTTGAAAACATACAAAGAAAAAAATATCTTATAGCATGTAATTAAAAAATACCCCATAATACAGAGTCTTGAACAATGACACAAAAATCACATCCTTATTGTGGAATTTGATTGGGTGAGTTAGAAGTCACAGAACAGGAAACAATTCCCACTGAGTTCTGGGGTGGTTTATAGCATGTGCACCTCTCAACATTTCATTTAGGCAAACAAAAATAATTATTTGAATGGAAGGAATAAATCTGCTAGCAAAATCTGATCACAAAATCTACTTTGTTTACAGAAATCTGAAGAATATTCCTGTCCAAAGACCTAATGACAACTGGTGCTGAAAAAAAAAAACAACAAACATTCATAGCCTCAGAGTATATGACATATTTAATGAATAGTGGCTGCTGTTCACAGTTAATGTACAGAAAACTGCATGTTCTTGCCTGCAGTACACTAGGCTATTACTTTATCAAAGATTCATTCCTTAAAAGTATATTGCATTTGGAGAAGAGAAGACTAAAGTATTTCATGATACTGTCTATGTATGACAGGTGCTTTACAGTATTACTACAGAAAAATAATATGCTTTTTTGACTCTAAAATACAGCATTTTCTGCTCATGACCACTCAGTGTGGAAAATCATCGGCTTCAGCCATGTCCACTGATTCACTGAATACTTCTCCAAAGACATAAGTTTGGTTCCAAAGGTAGCTACCTGTCTCTGAACAGCAGGTAAGGCCTAGCCCCATACCTTAACATTTTCTGGTCTTTCTCCAGTGCTTCCCCACAGATGTAGAAGGTGCTCTCTGTACACAGCAGAAACACTTTATGCACACCAGTTTGCAGACCCTCCTCAGCTGCATTTCATCCACAAAGTATAGTGCTTGTAGACCTAGAAAGATTATAACCTTGAAGATAGTGTTATTATTTCTGTTTTTAAACCATCCCTTAAGCTTCATAGTAGTTAGCTGTGTGTTTCATTACTGAGGACCAGGAAAAAAATATCTTCAGTTTTCCTCTACTATCATTCAGTCCAATAAAGTTTCCCTTTGTAATCAACCATATAGAGATGTCCACAGGTAGGAGAGAAGGAAAATAGTTGTATTAATAGCTCTACCCTCTAAAGGAGAGCCCTTTCCCCATTGATGGTGGGCATAGAGCACAACTTTTCTCTCCTTTGTTTCCTCCTGTTAGGACAGAAGAGCTGGAGAGGACCATCCTATGCCATCTTCTGCAGGGAACATACTATGAGTACTTCACTCAATGATCCTTATGGGTCATTGAATCATATTTTGACTCTATGATCTTTTTGCCACAGCTGAAGGCAGAGTGAACAAGACAGAAGCCTATCTTCTGAAGATGTCTTTGAAAGCAAAAGTTTAGAAATGAAATTTCAAGCCTTTTTTTTTAAACAAAAAAATCAGAAATATTTATACTTATGTTTCTTTACGGGGCAGAAGGTAGAAGAGGTAAAAATTGTTTTCTTGGATTCAAACGTTAGACAGGAGAGCTAGGATGTTCTGCTGTAGTTGAAACACTGATTCCTTAATCTTGGCACTTTTATAACCATTGTGAAGTGAGCAGTAAGTAATAAGCCCTGGAACATTATCATTTTGCTACTAACATCTCGAAAGTGAAGGTGACTTTTTTTTTTTCCTAAGCTATAATATTCAATGGCTAAGCAAACATTTCCTCCCCCTTTCCAAGTAAAAAATGAAAGTTTTAGTTTCATTTTCTACCTTAGCAGCACTTCTCTATTACTAACTTGACTAGATACCCGATTATGCAATAAAGCGTTGATACATACATGAAAAAAACTACACGTTATGACACATGCAGTCTATGCTAAAATATATGGAGCCTTTTATAGGCCACTGCTCTGGGATATATATTTTTACTCAGCATCTTTGATTATGCTGCCACCAGCAGCTTTCAAGACATAAAAAGGCAAATGACAGGTGCTGTCAGTGACTCAAACAAAAGCTGTGGAAATTCACTGAGCATATAATACCGTAGATTTTAGCAAAGCTAAAAACCCATGGTAGCTTTGACTAACTTGATCTCTCAGAAAGCTATTTGAGGAAGAGAGTCACAAAATAATGAATTGGATGTAGAGTTACATAACTAAGAATCCCCCAAGGTCTTGTCTGCTGCCTTATCTCATAAGTTGTAATGATTTTCATGTTAGATCAAAGAACAGCGTAAAGTAAAATTGAGATGAAAACAACTATTTCATTGCCCTCAAGTGTACAGCTTTTGTTTTAAGACACTCTTAAGCAGCACCGTAGAAGGTATTTCTCTTTATATAAATGATTTTTTATAAGTTTTTTTCTGTGATGGTGCAAACAAGTCTGCCATTGGAAGCACACACCTTGTAGCCCAGTTGTTTCTCCCAGGTCGCTGATAGCCAGGTGGAGCTGGTACTGCCTTTCCATTTTTGATGAAGGAAAGAAGTAAAGATTGCCTGCACAAGGAGAGAAACTGGAAGAAACTTAGCTTGGAATTTAAAGAGAAAAGCATGCAGTCAAAGTACACAGAACAAAAATGGTCAGGAAAGCATTAAATTTCTCATATGTAAGCAGGAAGAGTGGCATTTGCTGTCTTGTGGGTCTTGGATTTGGTGGCATCACAGACTGCAAGTGGAATGGGCACACTTCTGGATTCACCACAGAGAGCTGTGTCTTATGGATAACACTGTAGGCATTAGAATGATTTCCCTTCTCAGGGGCTAGGACTTCAGCAAGAAGTTATGGAAAGTAAGGAAAGAATGATGATGGAATTACAATACAATCTCACGAATCTGTAGTGACAGGATACCCTGAGCACCATGAGATATGGCTAATCAGATTTGGAGTATTCTGACTCCCACAAAAGCTCAGGGAACAAGAATTTATGAAAATTTTATACCATAAGGACTGTTACATCATTAGCATGCAATCAATTTCTCAGCAAACAGTTTTTCAGCAGAGATCAATCTTGCCAATAGTTCAAATATTAGTAAATTGTTAAGGTCAAAAAGGGCAACAATGCTTAATATATGTTTGACATTTTAATGAACTTTACAGTAAGTAGGAACAAAGAGATCTTAGCCCTGTTCCATAAAGCGGTGTAGAAGACTATACTTGAATCGTGCATTTTTAAAAAAGTAATGAAGTCTCAGATGTTTTTTTCCACTAACAACATATTGTATTTACAGCAGTGTAACAGATTTTATTTCCACACAGATACAGTGACATGGATAGGTGATTTTAAGGAATTATCTACTAAAAGAAATAAGAAATTATTTTCCAAACTCAAAGGCAAGTCGTTTGTTTCCCCTTCTTCATACATTATGAATGAATTAATTCTCCAATATTTCTTAATACACAATTTATTATTAAAGTTCAGGGATAAAATCACATGAAACATGAAATGAAAATGCTTATTATCAGAAATGGAAAACTAATAGTTTGTCAAACTTAGTTTCATCTTCAGTTCATGAAATATTCATGATCACATCTTCAATTGTTTAAATTTGTTATTTGGGCTAATGTAATACTTGCTCCCTCCAATGTGTTTTGCTTATTGAACATCAGTGTTCATTACTCCAAACCTGCATGTGATTTTCATTGGTCAGCTGTGGCTAACCACATAATCACATTCAGGAAATTTCCCTTTCTCGACTGGATGAATATGATTCTCTAATACAGGAAGAGTTATTCATGTTCTCAAAGGCTTTGAAACACTCTGGGAGAGTTGGAAAATAAGTGGGTTAGGGAATTACAGAAAATGTTCAAGCTTTTTCTTTCTGGCTCATAGTTCCCATCTAGCTAGTATAAGATTTATTGGCTGTTTGCAAAATTTGAATTTATTTATTATTTTCTCATGGTCATATGAGCAGGTGCTGAGATACAAAGAATGAAGCTGTTTTTTGTTTACACCTGTTTTAATTGAAGACACCAGATTTCTGGCTAGGGGTTTTAAAATCTACCCTATTGCTGTGGTCAATTAGGCGCTAATAAAATATATTTTTGCCTGTTATTACGAGCTTAAATTTGTGTGTACGGAGGGGAGGAGAGGGGGGAGGGGGAGAAATAATACTTGATCATACAAATACCTGGGGAAAAGCCAACCCACAAAGTACATCTTTAAAAATATCTTTTTTTTTTTTTTAATTTTTCCTTGTAACTACTCTAAGTTTCTTACTATTCACCCATTCATGCCCCAAACTACTACCAGCTTCTAAAAATATTAGAAAAGAGTGCTGTTGCCAAGTACTTGACTTATTTGAAGATAATTTTATCTAGAATCCAATATTGCAGAGTGCTCAACTGTAGAACAGCCTGATAAAACTAGATAAAAGCATATTCAAGTTACCCTCAGGGGCAAAGCATGCACATGGGAAGAAGGAGAAGGAAATAGTATATGGTGTGACATGTTTTCCCTGATACAGGCCCAGAAGATTTAGGTCTAAAATTCCTTTGAGAAAGTTTAATTAAAAATAGGCATAACAATCAAAAAACTTTTAAGAATTAGACCAATTCCCATCAACACAGATAGGTTATAACTTCGAAAAATTAACAAACAGCAGATAAATAATCCACAGTTTCAAAAGAAAAAAAAAAAAGACTACTTGAGGACATATATAACTTAGACTATGGTGCTGTCAGTCCATTTAATGAATGAAAGTTGCACTTGGAGTACCATAAAATGATTCAATTGTACAGAAATATCTCTGACAAATTTGTCCTTTAGCAACTTCATTATTCTGTTTTGAATCAACCTAGATTTCTTCATCTATTCTTTCTCTTCTACTGAAGCTAGTAACGTTACTCACTCTGAAGTAGGCCCATCGTACAAGTAGCGCTTCTATTGTCCATTCATTACTAATCCACCACCAAGCTTCTCAGCAGATTTCCCACCCCTGCTATAGCAAAGCAGCTCTAGATGGGCAGTTAGTCCAGCCAGGAGCTGCCTCAGCAGCAGGAGCAAACCTGGCTAGTTAGTGAGATCCTTAATGATCTCATCCTTGGGTCATCTTCCTGCAGGGAAACATACTTTGGATGATACATTTGCATTATACAGCTTTCGCCTGCAGCTAAGTGAAATTTGCATTTGGACTTAGCTGGCTGTGTGATTTTGTCCAGCCACTCACCCTGCTTTTTTCCTGCAAATTGTAGAGTTAATACCTTTATAAAATACTGTGCAAAGACATAAATTATTACATTTCTAAAAGTACAAATGTTAATTATCAAAATTAGTACTAGATTAATGCTAAAACTAGTGCAGAATTTAACAGGTAACAACAAAATTCTTCAATTCATTTTAAGTAAATATTTCATGATCTGTTCTGTTTCTTTTTAATGAAAGGTATGTGCCATTATAAATCTTCCACTCCCCTTACTATGTACCTAGCTCAAATATTTTCTTCTTTGAACTACAAATCAATAACCAGTTTTATGAAATGATAGAATAATTCTTTACCATGAAATCTAAAATCCTCAAAACGTCTCTATTTCAAATTATTTAAGGATTCTTGTTTACATAATGTAAGACCTAACTCATTCAGCTAAAAGAATCCCAACACTAGGACTTCAGAATAGGGGATGAAAGTAAATTTTATGGGCATATTAGATCACAGACAAATTCTACACTAGGGTTATACAAATATACCTTTCCACATTTTTTTCCTATAACTGATCAGTTGCAGAAAAGTTTATTTATGCCTTAAAACATTTTTCATTCTTGCATGAAGTTGAAGATTGTAACGTCTAAGTAGATTAATTGAAATGAGATAATCTTGAAGGTGAAAATAGACTGACAGGCTTGTAACAGAAAAACTTTGGCATCTGAATTTTTGTCTCTAGACAAAGCATGGGCAGCATACATGAAAGTTATGGCAAAACTTTTTGCTCTGCGTATTTCTGTTTCCTACTGGTTTGGGAGCTGACAATTTTACCAGAAACTAGCAAGCATTTGCTGGTTTGTTGTTTGAAAGCAGAAAAATATTTCAATTTCTTAGAGAAACCAGCTGAGGAAACCTCATAGAGCTCCTTTGCCTTATGCATGTTTTATGCTGTGTTTTGGGGGTTGTCTGAATCTGAAACTCCAAACTAAACACTAGTAAACAAAGCACAAAATGCAAACGTGAAACAGTGTTGGATGACATTTGCAGAAAACAAAGGTGATGGCACAGCAATGAGTTCTCAGTGGAGTCTATTAAGTCAAGTGTGTGGGAGTTTTGTTTTTCTTTTAACAGATATCAGGCTTGTGGCTTACTTCAGCAGATTTCCAGATAGGTCTGTTTGTATTTTATACCAGCAAGCCCTCATCTGACTAATCTTACTGAGGTACTCCATCTTCAGTACAGAGGATTAAGTTCCAGCAAAACTATGCAATGTACAAACACTTCTCATATGACTTCACTGTCCTTCTGTTGCTTCCAGGTTATTTTCAAGTCTACTAAACAACCACTTTTAGAGTTATCTACTACAAACTGCTCCAGAATTCAAGACCTTGTGCTAAAAGGGACCAGCCCAAGGCACCTGGGTGGAATTGCTTGTTGACCATTTTTTCCAAAGTGGCTCAGAAGGAAGAGTTTTCAAAGATATGAATAGCTCTTTTTAAATCACTCTCACGTTATCTGGTATAATTTAGAAGTCAGGTTATTTTTTATTCTTTCTTCGTTTCCAAGAATTCTGGGCAGTGGAATCTTTTAATGGTTGTATTCATTAGTTACAGTCATGATCTCCAGGGGATCAGGAACAAAAAGTTACTCACAGCTCTGGACAATCAAAGACAAGGTGAAAGTCAGAGAAACTCATCTGTTGTTTTTTTTTGTAGAGAACATCAATCAAATCTGAAGCTTTTTTCTCCCCCTCCTCCCTGAATTCTTTACAAAATTCATGGCAAACCGTATGTGTCAAAGCTTGGATAATGCTACCCAAATCAGTTTCCTGTGAAACTAATTCAGACATTACCATCTATTACAATTATTCATGATCATAGGTCCAAGCAGCAGAGAAAAAGTGAAAAATGAAGGGTCAAAACTTTTGATGTCTTAATCTTGTATCTTTTGGAAATATTGCACTGAACCAACACAATGAATATTTATGCAAAGGCAAAAAAAAATCCATACATTCAATGACCCATATATTTTAGCTTCAACTTTGCAAACAAGTTTCCGTGATTACAAAATAACTGCTTTGTTTCAGATTATTTACAGGTAGAATACTTTTCCCTCCATAGTGGAGTTTATCTCTAAGTGCATTTTGGAAAGTGAACAGAGTACTAAATTTTCATAGTAGTCTGAATTGAGGATATCTGATTGAATAATCTGGAGATTTAGTCTCATCATGAAGGCTTCCTAATTGTACTCTCCTCAGACAGACCAGAATTAATTCTTGCTATTCTTTGCCTGAAATGTATCTGGGCTGATACACTGATAATAATTTTCTTATCTCAGAGACAGATAGCTAAAGAGAG